GAGAGAGAGAGAGAGAGAGACAGAGAGAGAGAGAGAGAGAGAGTGTGGTGTGTTCGAGGCAAGTAAACACTGCGGATGCGATTAACTGAGATTGCCTGAGGGAAGCTCTGATGGGAAACCCGAGTCCCTCTTCCCAGGATTGTGGGTAACACGAGTTGTTATGTATTCACCCACTGATGTCAGCAGAGAGAGAGAGAGAGGACCGGGTCGAGGGATCTGAAACAACTTTTCGTTCTGGTACTCTATTCTCTGTCTTCTGATGTAGGAGGAGATTAAAGCTCTCTTCGGACTTTGTTCAGTTGTCACGAGGATGGATCTCGACATATAAAGCGAGGCAGTAAACTCTCCAGTTGGGATCGTTCCGTCAAACTGCTCTTTCACAAGGTCAAGAATGCACTTTCATGCTTTGATGAATAGTTTTCAGTTCACTCAGTTCACTATATTTGCATTTGTGCTGAGAGTTAGATGAGAAGATTGAGCCCACTCTCACGTCTGCGCGCTAAATATGAAGCAAAGCTTAGCTTAGCTTAGCATAAAGACTGGAAAACAGGAGGAAACATGGAGCCTGTAGTCTGTCCAAAGGTAACTAAGTAAAGAACCCTTAACCGGCTTCAGGACGTAGCTTCAGTTTGACCGTACGGACTCAGAAACAGGCGTATTTCACAGGAAAACCATTTCACGTTGCCCACACGTCTCTATTCTTGTGCCTAGTCACCTCTTATTATGGGATGTCACTGTTGCCTCTTGTTCTTCAAGTCAAATGGAGTGATGCCAAAGTGACCACTTGTAACACACTTCCAGTGGCTGAAATGTGCCGAGCGCGTGTGTCATGTATGAGCGAGCTGTAAACTGCGGCGTGTGGAGAGGCGAGGCGAGGCGAGGGACGGAACACATGGGGGAGTGAACAGAGTGTGTGTACAGACACAGTCCCTTCTCCTTTGGTGTAAAGTGCTGCTGATGCAGCAGACCCACACACACACACACACACACACACACACACACTGCAGGGATGCTATAATGTCACCCAAGGGGAGGATCCTCATCTCACACTCTGCTGGCTAAAGCACTGCAGGGAGGGTACACACACGCACACACACACACGAACATAAAGGCCTGCATGCTTTTTTTTGCATTCTGTGCAGGCTTCTGGTGTTTTGTCTTTTTGAGGAAACTATCTGTCTCTTTGTGTAAGGTCTGTTTTTCCTTCTGTCTACCTCTCTGTTGGGCTCACCTGTGTGGCCCTCTGCATACACAAGCGAGCCTTTGTCCTTGTGTGCGTCTCTGTCTGCAGTTTTTCCTCACCGGGCGCCTTTTTGACCACTGCAACAACACTCTTTTTGTGAAAACGGCGAATCATTCCTGCTCGTACATTTCTTTTGTTTTCGTAATGTGAGTAACGCACAAGGCGGTGTTCTGTCAATGGTAATGAGGTCGTCGTGTGGTCGTGTGTCACACATCATGTGTTTTGGAGAGAAATAGAATATCTGTTCAGTTTATAACTGGAGCTGAATGAGGGTCATTGGGGACGCGATGAAAAGACAAAGAGATGATTGTTGGTTGGCTTTCTGACGTCTGTGTGTGTGTGTGTGTGTGTGTGTGTGTGTGTGTGTGTGTGTGTGT